ATTGTAAAAAGTGCTGCGATAAACATAGGGGTGCATATGTCTTTTTGAATCTGAGAAGTTGTATTCTTTGGGTAAATTCCAAGGAGTGGGATTCCCGGGTCAAATGGTATTTCTATTTTTAGTGTTTTGAGGAACCTCCATACTGCTTCCCACAATGGTAGAACTAGCTTACATTCCCACCAGCAGTGTAGGAGGGTTTCCCTTTGATCTGTTTTCTTATCAGTAATTTCTGAACGTACTCTTTCCTGTTTTCTCTTCTATAAAATCTGTACAATTCCAGATCTCACAAAGTGGATGAAAAGATAAAACAAGGCAGGATGTGAATGGTCATGGGACACATCAGGTGCATCACTGCTGTGCAGACAGAAAATGTGGACTGTGACCACCAGGTGGCAGCAGGGCCCTACCAGCTGAGGGAGGGCTGGAGGCACCAAGGGGTCAAACTGAATGCCCATGGGTGCTGGACAGGTGTACAAATAAGAGGAAGGGCCATGCGAAAGATATTAGGGAGTGGCAGGGACTGTGTTGGATCAAAACATACATGCTCAGTCTAAGGAACTTGCAGTAGCGGATGAAGAACTGAAGAGAAAGGGGTGATGCTGGGGTTCTTGTTCATGGAGCTAAAGAATGAACTTCACAAACAGTCAAGGTAGGAGAGCAAGTAAGCCAGAGAGAAAAGTGGTCCCAAATACCTTTGAAGAAACACTCAGTTTCTTATTAGTCTCCCTGGTTATTTACAAGAATTTCACTCTTCTGATTTCCTCCCAGGATAGCAGCTTCCTGGTCTGGGAGCATGTCACTCAAGGCTGCCTGCTTTGCTCCCAAGGTCAGCTGAGTTATTATCTGTTAAGAAACTTTTTTTTACCTAATTGGGCTTTAAGATGGAATCCCTCCTGATTTTATTATGTTGTTTTGGGCTTGCTTGCTACATTGCCTAAGTTGCAACAAATCATTTGTTTAGGGCTGGAGGAAGAAAAGCAGCACTTGGGTAGTTAGACAAATAGGCTGGGCCCCCCAGCAGGCCAAAGCAAATCCCACAATGGATTATCTTGCTTTGTTTTTTTCCAGAGGCCCTCACCCTCCTCTGTCTAAACCCATGGTCCCAGTCTCATTCACCCCCTCTGCATATGGAGACCCTAGCTGCTGCTAGGGGAAAGGGGGTGATGACTGCTCTAGCTGCTTCATGCTGAGAGGGGGCACAGTAAGGGGTGCAGCTAGGTCTCCATCACTGGTCAGTCGAAGGGCCTTGGAAGATGGGCACTTCTATCTTGGGTTCCATTTCCATCACCATTTGCAGTTTTATGGCTTCAAAAGGATTTAGGAAACCAGCTCCATATTGTAGTAGTCCATGGGACTTCTGGGCCTGACACAGCTTGGACTTGCTTTCAGAGGTCCTGGAGTGAATTAGAGACATTTTGTGAATAATTCAGAATGTACACACGACACACAACTTTAATTATATAGCACAGGTCCCACCTGTGCTGCTGTTCAGATGTCTAGTGCCATTCTATTTTGTATAACTGCTTGGCGCATTTGTTTAACTTTAGTATTTAGGAGAGTTATTCCTTGGATAGTATCATTTAAGGCCTTTTGAGTAAAACTGGTTAAGGATTTGATATGCCAAATTACATCTTCTAAAACGAGAGATGGTATAAAAATGGAGGCTAGGTGATCATACCAATGAAAAACACTCCTTCCTAGTCCATCGATACTGGAGGCTTGGGAAGTTTGCAGGGTGTGGGATGTTCTTAACTCAGCATCCCTGCAAGAAGTTCAGTTACTACAGTTTAGTTCACTCATTCTTAACAACCATGCTAGATTACTTACAAAACCTTCACTAAACATGACAAAGTCAAGCCTCTCTTTAAGCATTTCCTTTGAAAGATTTAAGCCAAGCTGTACTGTAGAAGATGAATTTAAGGGAGTTTAGTTTAAAAACTTCCTAATTTTTGAGGATAATGATAAACCCAATAAGTAGAATAGATTTCCAATAAAGGGATTTAGAAAACCAGTTTTATATTGGTAGTACTTCACGGGACTCTTGACCATTTTCCTTCCTTGTGGCAAAATATATTTAGCTGCATGACCTTATTATATTGCATACTTCCCTCAGAGGGCCAAGCCTCTCCATCAGAGAGTTTGTATTGAGGCCAGGCTTGTGTGCAGAAGATAAGACACTTCTTTTTCAGGGTCTGGGATCAAATTTCTCCCAGTTCTTCAGAACGCATGCCAGAGGCATGTCTGGCCTTAACCTTGAAGAGGAAGCTCCCATCGGGAAACGAGAGAAGGACAGGTGTGTGACACCTGGTCGGCCTTTCCTCTGTGAGGGCGTCCTCTCACCTTGGAGCCTGGGTGACAGTGGTCAATCACCTCCTCTGCCAGGCCTACTGGACTTAACCACTCCTTACCAGCGTGGCCTGCACCTTGCCTCGATT